CGAGCGACCGATTTCATTCTCGGTATCAATTTGCATTAGCGGACTGTTCCTCAAATTAATATCATTTCCTTTTGTTTGGAAAAGAGAGACACTGGCAGCGGTACACTCTACCCATGATTATGGGTTTTGGTCAAATTTATCTAATTCTAATGTAATATTTCAATATTATAGTAAACATTAACCAGTGTACCAAAAGCTGGTCCCCAAACAAACAAACAAACAAACATCTTTCAACTCCCATATTTTCTTAGATAGCTCCGTCTGATTTCGTAGCTTCTCGAGTTTGAAAGAGCTTGTGTGTGAACTGAAACGGGTCTTAAAAGTGTTTTCAGTAAGCCCAATATATTTGTGCTCTTTCTTTTCCTTTTCCACTGCAATAGTTGCTTCATATATCACTGCTGCTTCCAGGCATTGTCCGTTCAGTGGGCACATTTCCGGCTTTCTGCAATTGCACGTTTTCGATTTAATTGTAGGTTCTTTCTGAGCTTGGTGTCTGGTGCTCGCTAAAATGGATCCTACGTTGGGTAGGCAACTGTATGATAGCTTAATTGTGTTTCTGTTGAACATTTTGTGAAATTGGTGTCCTCTGGGGAAGTGCTTGTCTAGTGATCGGAGGAAGCTTTTGCCTATGTTTGTTGTTACATTTGAGCTGTATGGGGGGTTGAACCATATGATCTTCCTGGATCTCTTCCTGTTGGCTCGTGGCAAGGCGGTGCTAGTATCTGTAAACTCTAGTTGGTGGTCGTGGCCGCTTTCTTTAAGTGCTGTTCCGTAAATCCCTTTCGCTTTGTCAAACTCTTCTTTATTGCAGGAGATGTCCGATAGACGCCGGTTTATCATTTTGGGGAGCTGGTTTATGATTGTTGGTGGGTGGTTTGACTGCTTGTTGATATATAGCGGTGTGTCATTTGGCTTTCGGAAGGGGAAGTATTTCCCACTGTCAAGGTTAAGTGTCACGTCTAGGAAGTCGACTTCAACGAGATTGGTTTCTATTGTGATCTTTAGTCCTTCCTCCTTGAATATAGCCGTGATCTTTTTCCGGATTCGGTCTAGTTTCGGTCCGTTAGCTTGTGGAATGATTGCTAGGCCGTCGTCTCTGTAGAGACCGATTTGGTTGGCTGGAATATACTGCTGGAGTTGGTTGAGCATGTATAGGCCGACAAGTTCACATGTTTCGGCGCCATCGTACGATCCCATGGTGACATCAAAATTGCGGTTCTTCTTTTCCCAAACATCGCCGTTATGGAAGAGAAGCGCATTCTTGGCGTGTTTTATAATTTCAGTTTCCCTGGGGCTGAGTTCGATGGTCTGCATGGCGAACTGTATGGCTTTATCGAGCAGGTCTTCCGTTATTGAGGGGTAGAACTCAACTACGTCAAACTTCACGAACTTGGTCTTTGTTTCATTGTTCGTGATATATATATATATATATCACGACAATCTGTCGTAAAACAGGGGTTCTAGAAAACCCATTTCCCGATACTCCTGAAACCTGAAACTTTTTTTGCAGTCGATTTGATCAACGTCTAGACGCCCTGAAAAATTTCAGATCTCTAACTCAATTTTAACATGGTTTTTAAGGCACCTGAATATGGCGATTTTGGGTTTTTTACCGAATTTCGTATAACAGTGCTGGCGAGTATTTTATGCAAATTTCTTAAAAATCTCAACATAACTATTTTTTATTCCTGTCATCTTTGACATCAAATTAGAATGTTTTGAACTAAAAATAATTCTGCTTAACGACTTCCGATGAGTCTTAATGCCTGGAAAACTCCTGCCGGAGGCGGCGGCCTTCGGCCGCCGCCCCCGGCCGGAGTGCACGCTTCGCGTGCACAAAAGAGGCTTGTAACGTGTACCAAAGGGGGTATAATAGTAAAGGGGGTATAATAGTAAAGGGGGTATAATAGTAAATGGGGAACATAGTATACCCACAATAAATGCAACGGTCGTGCTTGCCAGCACTGTGAAAGCTAGAAATCACTGATGCTTTAAGCATGGGCTATTTCATACACGAAAACCCATTTGATGAAGATGATATGTGATATTAGAAACTGATCATGTACACATATTTTAACATTTTTACTGCTTAATGACTGCTTTTCTTACTTACTGTATAAAAAATGGATTTAAAAATCATTTGCTTAAAATTAAATTTAAAAAAGTCAAAAAAATTCGGATTTTTGATTGTTGATGGTTTTGAATGCCTTCAATGTCCAAGCGTTCGTATTAATGTCCGTTCATAATTATGTCCGTCCAAATAAGGTCCGATAAGGTACATTTCCAATTTCATCGGCTGTATCTGATCTTAGGTCAAGATAACTATTTCTTGATGTGATCAAAACTTACTTTCAAAGAACACTCCCTGTGACGGGCTGTGACCACTGGCATCCTAATTTTTAATATGGAATTAGATCTATTTTAATCAAAAATAGGAAAATAATATTTGCCGCCGTAGAGTCCTGTTTTCCACATCCCCACGCCGTTGAGTCCTGGTTTGTACGGCGCCGCCGTAGAGTCTCACGTCGTAGAGTCCGAACCCCTATAAGGTGTGTAAACCGGTTTGTGGCACAATCAACTTAATCTCTGTCCATCTGAGGTGACTGACAGACAGTCCAAAGCCTCAGTCCTAACGAGAAGGGGGGGGGGGCCAATGGCATAAAATGGCATAAAATGGCATAAAATGGAGACTTTTTCTATGGAGAAAATGGAAAAACCCATGAGTAATTCTCCATTTTCTCCATTTTATGCTATGAATTTTGTCTTCGAAATTTCATCTTTAACACCATTTAACACCTAAATTGGACATCCTAACATGTTTATTTACACTTACTAGGGGCGTAACAAGCTTATGAAAGCTCATAGTAGGCTACTAGATGCTTATACTAGGTTAGTAGAGGCACACTTCAGGCAAACTCATAATTACCTAGTGTAAAGTTATTTCTACAGGCTACAGTAGGAGTGAGTAATAGGGGAGAGTAATATGCACTGAGAAGTGAGACCTACTTCCTCGAAAGTCGAAACAAGCTTGCACTGCTAAGGGGAGGCCTGCCTTCCGAGATCGCATTACCAGGGGGAAGCCTCGAGTCCAAATTTGTGTATCGAGGGGTAGGTGCAGACTTCGATAAACCGAAAAACCAAAAAAATATTTTCGGCTAATAATGAATAGGGTAGCATAAAACGTGGAGAAAAGTGGTTTTTAGAAAAACTTTGAAAAATTTTGACTTAGAAAATTTTCGGCCCGAGTCATTCTCGATACGTACCTCTCGTATCGAGAGCTCCCGATTCCGAGCTCGTGTTGCAAAGGGGAGGCCTGCCTTCCGAGATCGCATCACCAGGGGGAAGCCTCGAGTCCCCCTCGAGTCCAAAATTGTGTACCGAGGGGTAATTTTCTAAGTCAACATTTTTCAACGTTTTTCTGAAAAACACTTTTCTCCACGTTTCATGCTACCTTGTTCATTATAAGCCGAAAATATTTTTTCGGTCAAAATTTTTTCTGAAAACCGCTTTTCTCCACGTTTCATGCTACCCTGTCCATTATTTGCCGAAAATATTTTTTCGGTTTTTCGAAGTCCACACCTTCCCCTCGATACACAATTTTGGACTCGAGGTAATGCGATCTCGGAAGGCAGGCCTCCCCTTTACAACACGAGCTCGGAATCGGGAGCTCTCGATACGAGAGGTACGTATCGAAAATGACTCGGACCGAACATTTTCTAAGTCAACATTTTTCAAAGTTTTTCTGAAAACCACTTTTCTCCATGTTTCATGATACCCTGTTCATTATTGGCCGAAAATATCTTTTTTTAAAAATAATTTTTCTCGAAATTCTAAATTTTTCAATGGCATAAAATGGCATAAAATGGCATAAAATGGAGACTATTTCTATGGAGAAAATGGAAAAACCTATGAGTAATTCTCCATTTTCTCCATTTATGCCATTGGCCCCCCCCCCCCCCCCCCCCCCCCCCGAGAAGGTTTACCTACTCTCTTATATGGCCATGTCACGTGATCAAGACAGTTTTCCGCGAATAACTCGTCAGCGAAGCTGCTTTTAAACTCTGTGCCACATGTCATGTGTGTTCAATTGCCGAAGGCCATGGACAAAAATCTAGACATTCCTGTGTAGAGCGGTTAAGCACGCCTGGATCCATTCTCGGTCGGTACCCCCATGCACCGGACAGTGGACACTGTCCCCGATTTAGACAATAGAGCACACATACGGGATTAGAAACTTACGTGCATTATGCAAATTAGAACGTACGTGCATTTTGGCAGACAAACACATAATTACCTACGGATCACTCATCAGACTTGATGCCAAAGTGTCGTAACAAATCTACGTGCCATGACTCCTAACGTAACTATCGCTCTTTAACACAATCACAGACCCAGTTTAAAATAGCAGGCGGTAGAATGAGTATTCCACTTTACCTCTTCTTGGTACCTCTGCGTCCCCGCTAGGATTTTGGAGCATCGCGTGTGTTCTTAGGAGGCCCTATCAAGGTGTATAGTGTATACTGATATGTATATGTTACGGAATGTTCGGTTTCTTAATTCCACGATATGATAGTGAGGTTGTACGTGCGCCATGCGGTTCGACTTGCCCAGACATGCCCTACAAGATAAGACCTTGATCAGCCATGATAAAGCCGATGAACTCCTATTTGATTTGCAACTCTGGCAGACGGCCAATTAGTAGTATGGTTTAGAAATAAGTATGAACCCCAAATACTACAAAAATTTCAAAAAGAAGTTGCGTGCTCAGAAAATTTTACGTGCGCGCGTAAAATTTTCTGAGAATGACGAAAAAGAGCAGTTTGCAAAACAACTACTCATTTGGCGCCGCGCCTTCCAGAAGGCAGCTATTGGATTCTCCCTAATAATGCCCATATTCTGGGACACGGCTCATTTTATATGGACATTTCGACATATGACACAAGTTTTAAATGAAAACAATAAATTATCTAAGAATAAGTTAAAAACAGATAAATTGAATCCTAGTCTTCAGCATCGTCATCATCTTGATTGATCTGGAAGTATCTCAGTTCATATGTTGATGGACTTGAGGCAACGACCCTGAGCCAATCTCGGAGGTTCTGTTTTTTCAGGTACTTCTTGGTCAAGTATTTGAGGTATCGCTTGCTGAAGGGGATGTCTGACAGAATGTTGACCTTGAAGCCCTCTTTCTGGATGATTACATTGGTTCCCAGGTTGCCTGTTTTCCCTGCCACTTTGATCTTTTCGTTGAGATACGTAGCGAAGTCTGATGGGTCGAGGATCTTGTCTTCGGCCGGGTGCGTGCAGTCCAACACGAACTTTTTCTGCACCTTCTTCGCTTTTTTAGATTTACCTGGCATCCTATAATAATTATCAAACGGTTAGTAACTAAACTACTGTAAAAATATAATGAAAATTGATATCATGCAGTGATAGCGCTCATCATGCAAAAATGTATAATAGAAGGATTCACCAAAATAAAGTTGACTCAATTTGTGGAATTTTTGGAATTTTACATAAATCTATATAAATACAAATACTTTTAAACATACAACCAGCGCCATCAATACAATCAAGTTGAATAATGGTCTCCGAAATGAGACCTCTTCGAGACACTGCACTATCAAATATATTTATCAGTTATCAATAACGTAACTGGAATTAACAATAATAATTAACAATAATAATTTTATATTATTGTATTGATGTATTATTTACAAACACGATCAAAAAGTCAGGGAAGAAAATTTCTGGAGACAGCAAAACTTAGCAACTTTTTAATGTAATTACATGTTAGAAAATAACAGTTTATCTACTATCACACCCGAAACTGAGACAAAGTGCGAAAGATTAAAGATAATAAAAACCGTTCCTAAAACTTGACGCGGCAGCCCCATGTCACGTGACAGAGAAAGAGTGAGCGCAGTCACGTGAGATCCCAGTCCTAGTCACGTGACATAAGGTAAGGCGCAGTCACGAGGGGTATGGTCCTATCATGTGACCAGCACATGATGAAACAGAGACTCATGCAATAAGGAGCAGACTTTGTGGAACAGTTGCAACTTAAACTGGAAGGAGTAAAGAAACCACGCGGCAATGCAGAAAGTGAAACAATTATCGAATTATACAAAGACCTTAATTATAGAAAAACTGTCAGACGTGCGCACTCGGCACTAAGCACCAAGAAACCACGTGACCTGCCCCCACACACGTGACCAGCGGGGACCAATAAGGAGCAGATCGCTGGTGCTGCCTACTCCGAATATTATATCCCGCTCGCTACTCAGTTACAAGCCTTGATGATCTAATATAATTGCGGACACCGGGGGTGAAAAACGATTAATACAGTGCCGGGTAAGCTACAAGAATCAATAGTTCCCACAGTCAGACAACGAACGTGTAAGCTACAAAATGCACAATGGAGATTTATCCGCAATCCGGCCGTCTGAATTCAACTACATTTCGTGTCCTGGAACTTGAAACATAGGTAATATTGTGGTTTCTTCACATCTTGTTCAAATAAGCTACCCCCATTTGACAATAGTAGCTTCGCCAAAAGAATCGTTACATTTTGCCGTCTCTAAAAGGAATATGTAACTGCACCAGGGATTTAATCTCTCTCAGCGAGAATGTTGAGCTGCTCATCAGTTTCAGCTTCTGTTAGTTTCCTGAAAACACAGCTGTAGTTATGATTTGTAGGTGAAGTGACAACATATAACAGTTTTCTTGTTTTATTCATTAGAAAAAAAATAAATGGGAAAAATCCAGAATATTAGCTGGTGCCTGGTATCCTACGTAACTATCTTGCCAACTAAACAAGATAATATATGGTGCATTTTGTTTTTAACAAGATTCTACACTCTGAGAAATAATCTGATTATCCCGCCTGATTCTAACCTGAACACGGGGTTACGGTCACTGACAACAGCGATCTCGATCTCTGATGGTTTGAAGTCGGCTGCTAGGACACTGCTCAGTGCTGCTATTGCAGTTTGTATCACTTCTGTCTCATTCATCATGCCTGGTTGTCAGGGAGTTAGTTTAACAAAGTGTTTCACATAATATACATTACACATGTTTCTTATGTATTGTTCATAAGATTGGTCAAATTATTACTTCGCATGCATCATTGAAGAACACATTTTCAGAGAGTATCATTCCGGAACTGTAGAAAAACTACTTACAATTTGGATTTTGAACTCAGACAGTATTCCCCAGAATAATAATTCTCTATACTTAATACTACTTTGAACGAAACACTATTGGATCATAAACCAAGGAGGAAATACTATGTTTGAAACAGACTTACTGTTTTTCTTGATTTTCTTCTCCAAATAGTTGTTGCTCTCAGTCTGCTTAGTTCCAGCACTGCAGGCTCTGAAACCACAGAAGAAGCCAGCAGGATCTACCCTGTAGAGCTGGGCTCCCTTTTCCTCGTCCCACCCAATCATTATCAGGCAGCAACCGAGAGGGCGCATGTGAGCAATCTGTGTGTAGGATTGCCCGATGTCAGCGAGACGCTTGGAGATCATGTCAGGAGGCATCTCGTATCCGTAGTGGTACTTGTAGTCAGCCGCCTCGTATCTAGCTCTAGATACCTGAGGTGTTATGTTGGTAATGTATCGGTACAGTTGCTTCATTTGTACTGGGAAAGTCAAACAGCTACGGGTGGGGCTAGGTGACAAGTTTTTGCTGATTTTTGAAGACCACACTGAATTTGATTACATTTAACAGCTAGTAAATTTTTTGACCGTTTAAAAAACGCCCCATTTTCAATGGATTGACCATTTGGACATAATTGATTTGAATCTGCGTCAATCTTTATTAATTGTATACTACTATACATTCAAAACATTTCTTCTTCCCTGATCGCTTTGCTCGAATTATTTTTCTCGGTGCAAAGTTTTCAGTTTGTTCACAAAAGTAATTTAAAACGTTATTTAGAACAAGATCTAGCCACTTACTGAAGTCCACGAGGGGGGGGGGGGGGGGGAGGGGGGTTCACTACATTTTTTTACACAATTTTACACTTTTAGTTACACTGAATAAAGTTATCTTCTAAAAATCTTCTTTTTTCCTATTATTTTTCAATCAGTCTTCACATGTAGTACATTTCCAAAGGTAAGACATACCTTTGGTGAGAAGAAAAATTTCACTTTTTTACACTTTTAATGCTTTTTTAGACCGCCCTCCCCCAAGTCCACGAATTACAACTTAGCATTTTACAACTTCTACTATCCAATTCTAACTAATCAATCAACAATAGATGTGGGGAGGTGAGGCATATTGTATGTCACGTGACAGCAATAAACCAAAACAGCATCAACTATCAGATAATCAAACCCTAGAATCACTGTCACTTGTCAAAAAATATGCCTCACCAATCTCAACATCTATTGACTGATATATAAGTAACGAGGTAAGTTGTATACATGTATGCCAAAATCTCAAAATTGTTGGAATTACAAATAAGGTGGTGAGTACAGAATATTAACTGTACTTGGTGAGAGTAAGTAGTGGAGATATTTTTGGCAAGTGTCCAAAACATACGGAATTTCACACTATGCTATTACTAAGGTAGCTGAAATTGAGGTCCGAAATCATCGAAAGATGCATAATTGAGAAGAAGACAACCTTAAGGCACAACCTATTTGAACTGGCATGGAGGCTCGCTTGTGATCACGCATTATCGGACTTACAAGATAGGTCATCGTTTGAACGGCGTGCCTTCAAACTCTCTATCAATAGCCACCTCAGATAAATAATAAAAGAGCTGACCCTCGAAGAGAGGGAAGGACAGCTCCGCAACGCAGACTGGAACTGCATTGAAAGTGTGCCACATATTTATTATCACTTTGAAAATATTTCATTGTTTTTCGAAACTGTCATAATATTCATTTTTTGTTATTCCGCAATCAAACTTCAAAGAATGTTTTTGGGAATCATTCAAAGGTGGTAAGTTTGAAGATAGAATCAATTGTAAATACCTTAGTCGGTAATTTTATGAGGGGGGAAATTATGGGTGTTAAAAACATGGACTGTTATAAATATGGTTCAGACAAATTTCAGACATTTCCTCTCCATCAAGCTTGAAACTGGGTGAAGGGGGTTCGTAGTCCCCCAGGCCAACATAGCGAACCTATGTTTCGTTTGTTAATTTTCTAAGGAATTCTATAAGCTTTTGGACAGACAGGAATTCAATTTTTGCCGAAGAAAGCCTAGAATAGAAGCAATTTGGCAAAAGAGGTCATTTTTAAACACAGTTTCGAGAACGATTCAAGTAATGAGACCCACACATCGGTGATCTCAAATTCATTCAAAGTCTTTAGCATGGATTGCACTTTTTCACTGTGAAATAATTTAAAAAGTTGCGGCATGAAATAATTTGCAAAAACACCAGGCGGTGTCTCCAGAGTCCCCCTCCCCTGTGATTTGTTCATCTTACCTGCATGTCACTATCAGCAATCATGCCAGTCATAACACAACCGGAATGTTTAGTAACTCTGTAGATATGTGAGACTGTCTCCTCATCAACCAGCTTGTCTGGGATCTTTCGTTGGGTGATAACACATGCACTGTCCTTACCCCTTACCCCAATAGATGTCAATCCACTCTGATTGATCGCTTTAAATGCATACTCTGAAATGGTATTCATTAAAAATCAACTGGGAAAATGAAAGTGAACTTTCAAATCAAATATTTTAAACTAATTACAACACTACAAATCTATTACATTTATTGAGGACCCCCAGTGGGAACTAATGCCTCGGTAAATGTAACGACCATTACAGGTTGTATGTCAATGTAAATGGTTGTTGCACGATAAAGTTATCTTAAAGACATCCTAAGGACTATCAGACATCGGTTTTTAAAGCAGTTTACTCCCATCTATCACCTAAAGATTATCAGACATCACTTATCCTTATCCTCCGGAGTGCTACAAAGGTACTGTAATCATTAACTAAATTTCGAACAGTAGCATCTTTTTGTGATAAACTATGTCTAGAATACCAGTTGGCTCAAGACATTACAATCTGAGATATCGAGGGAATTCTGTTAAATTCCCCAGCAACGGCTCTTGTCCTACTGATAAATGTTCAAATTGTTTAACTCTATTAAGAGAGAATGATAGTCTTCGTCGGCAAATTTCTTTTCTCTATAAACAATTATCAGAAAGTGACAGTGCACTCAAAGTTCCCCTCAGCGATGGTTCACTTATCCCTGTGTCGCCCCAGGTACCTGATCACTGTGAACAGTCTATCAATGTTCCCCTCAGTAATAGGTCATCCTTGCATCTTGTTTCTGAGTTAACCCAAGAGCTATCCAAATTAGCAGAAGACAGTGAACATTCAGCAGAAATTATCAATTTGGAAAATCCCAAACACTCTGTAAATGGTGACAATGATGTGAGCAACTCTATCAATCCATACCAAGATTTGAGTCGAGGAGTTTTTCAGTTTGTTGACACTGCCAAGTTAGATATAGAAACCCACTATACTCATAAGTTTGAGAATAGGGCAGTTGCATATTACGGGGACTTTCCCTACGCTTACAATGGAGGCTTTCATAACACAAGGCCAGTAGCAGAAAATCCATACCTAAAGTCTATTCTAGAACGCTTACGCTCACAGTTCCCAAAATTGAAATTCAATAGTGCTATGATTACCAAGTATAGAAATGGTCAGCAAGGAATTCCCTTTCACTTGGATGACGAGAGGTCAATTTCACCAGGCTCCATGATCTCCACCATCTCTTTAGGGGCTACTAGAGTCCTAAGCTTCAGATCCAAACTTAGAGCTCATATTGCTGACCTCACCCTCTCCCATGGTGACATAATGAATATGACCAGACAATCCCAGACCAGCTTTGAACACAGCCTCATCCAGGACAAGTCTGAAACCATGAGAATAAGCATTACTCTGCGCCTAATTGATGGCAGCGCAACCTTATCTACTCTGTCTGATGTTTCCAGTCAAGTTAAGAACACTGAACCCTCGGCCCCTAAGACTAGATCAATAGAACATTCTGGTAAATCTTTGTGTGTCTACATTAGCTCTAGTATGTTCTCCAAATTAGAGGGAGAAAAGCTATCGTCCAAACATCATGAGGCACATGTATTCAGCTACCCTGGTGCCACAGCCAATGCAATCAATGAACGGTTTCAATCAGATGTAAGAAAAGACACTCTTAATACCAATAATGTGAAAAGCATTGTACTTATGTGTGGTACAAATGACGTGGACTCTATCCTGAACAGCCCTCGCAACATGAGGACTAAACTTCTGTGCCCTGATAGTTTTTCTGGTGATGCTAGAGCTCTTGACTTTACAAACAATTGTATTGAAAAACTTGTACTTTTCCTTCACAAGTGGGCACCTGGAGCTGATATTAAAATTGTTAACTTATTACCTCGGGAGAGTTTCTCCAGAAACAAGGTTATAACTGATATCAATGAGTGTATATCAAATCTGCAAAGAAAATACACCTATGTAAAACTGCTCTCAACCGAGACAAATCGTTTCTTGTTTAGTGATAAGAAAGGCTTTAGAAAATCGTCATTTTTTAGTAGTTATGGAGAGGATAATGTCCATCTCAATGATTATGGCATAGTTAAATTAGCAAGGCACTTGAAGTATCATGCACACCATTAGAATACTGCTGAATACTGACATAACACTCCTACCATCAGTTTTATTTTTACAGTACGACATCCAGACAAATACAACCTGCTTTTATTCTGTTTTTTAGTTTAAACACAACTTTACAACTTTTATTCATTCCATTGTGAATTAATAAGATTCACAAGATGACAAATTTTAATAATGCAGCTGATAGGTTTCACAACCTCTGCATTGGTCATTGTAACATTCAAGGAGGGCTTCTCAATTTAGCTAAAAGTAATGAACTTTCCCAACTTATTAGAGATCATAAATTAGACATACTTTCCCTAAATGAGATGAATCTTAATGATACTATTGACACAGACACCATAAATATTCCTTCCTCCTTCAACCTTATGCGATGCGACAGGCCAAACAGTTCTAGGGGTGGTTGTGGCTTAATGATAAACAAAAAACTAGCTTACACAGAATTAGTTATGGATAGTAAGCTTGATAACATTGAAGCATTATGGGTGAAGCTTAAGAATAGCAAGATCAATGTTTGCTGCTTCTATCGCTCTGGAAATTATTGCAGTGTTGATAACTTTATTGAATACATTCATTTTTGCATGAAAAAATTGAATGGGAAAAAGGTTATCTGGATTGGGGATATAAACATTGACCAGAATAATATCTCATCCACCCAGTACAAAAAATTAGATATGACCTTGAGATGTTACAATCTAGTTCAAACCATTCAAGGGATAACTAGAGTTGCTAAACGTGGAGACAATGTTACCCAGACTACTATTGATGTAATATTCACTAACTGTTATGCAGATTTTGTCCAATCTTCTGTTCTTGATGAACGTATTGGAGATCATCAAGCTATTATGTGTGAGATAGATTGTAAAGTACCTATAGCTCCTAAATTTGAGAAGGTTGAAATTAGAAATCATTGTAAACGTAATGTTAAACAATTCTTAGACTATCTAGACACCTGTTCTGATTACAGTCCACTATTGGAAAGTACAGATGTTGAAGCTATCACAGCTGGCCTTTGTCATCATATTGAACAGGCATATGCAACCTTCTTCCCTTGCAAGACCATAGAAAGGCATGAAAAGTTCATACATAAACCTTCTACTGAACTTTTATATGCCATTAATCATACACATTTTCTTCTAAAGAAATTCCGTAAAAAGAAGGATAAGAGAGACAATGGAAATTGCAATAAATGTGGTACATGTAGCAAATGTATAAAGTGTAATGAGGCCTGGGATTGCTACAAGATTCAGAGAAATATTAGAAATAAATTAGCTAAAACCTGCAAAAAGGCTAATGTAATCGATGATCTACAAGTTAAAAGTGCCAAGAATGATCTTAAAGGGATATGGAAAACTATCAAACTGGCATCAAATATGACCCCTGGTACAACTAATTGTCAAACTATCAATGAGAATGATCCTGAGCTATTTAACTTTCATTTTGCAAATGTTGGATCAAGATTACAAAATCAGGCCCCCAATATTGAAAGAGTTAGTTTTACTGATTTTTTACCTCCTAGAACTTCTAATATCTCATTTGATAGATTCCAAGAAATAAATGAAACTGATATCCTAATGTATGTCGAAACGCTCAAGAATGACAAGGCCTCATATGACAATGTGCCTCTATTTTTACTTAAGCAAGCTGTACCACACATAGTTGAGCCACTGACCCACATTGTCAATCTGAGCCTTAATACAGGTGTTGTACCAACCCTTTGTAAAAAAGCTAGAGTAACTCCCATCCATAAGGCAGGAATGAAAGATGATCCTAATAATTACAGGCCAATATCCATCCTTCCACTTGTAGGAAAACTTATAGAATACTTTGTCGGCAAGCAACTCACTGATTACATGGAAGAGAACAAACTTTTCATCCGGCATCAATATGGCTTTCGGAAAAATCACTCCACAACTTATCTGATGTACGATCTGATGGACGAAATATATATGAGTAAATCTAAGTCTTATAAACCAGGAATCATCTTTCTTGATCTTAAGAAGGCCTTTGACACAGTGAATCATGAAATATTGCTTCAAAAATTGGCATATTATGGAATTGGTGGCATTGCTTTAACCTGGTTTAAGAACTTCTTATCTTGTAGATATCAATGCACTAGGATCAATGGCAATCTAAGCTCATTTTTAGAAGTTCTGAGTGGTGTACCACAAGGAAGCATCATTGGGCCTATATTATTTAGTATCTTCATAAATGACATCATTTATGCCTGTAACCTATCTAAGCCCTTTCTATTTGCAGATGATGGTGCACTATTCTTTGATCAAACCTGCAGAAGCACATTTATAAACATGAAAATAGAACTTATGACAATCTTTAAATGGCTCAGTGTTAATAAATTATCACTCAATGAAAAGAAGACTGAATTCCTATTGTTTGATTCTGTTGACCAACATGATGAAATAACCATTGATTGTAATGAGGTAACTTTCACAATCAAGGAGTGCAAAGAGACAAAATATCTTGGCCTCATTCTAGATAGTAAATTAAACTTCAAAAGCCATGTAGATTATATTATTAGGAAGGTCATGAAGAGAATTGGTGCCATGTATAGAAGTAAAGCACTGCTACCCATTAAATATAGGAAAATGTTTGCCAATGCACTCATGTTGCCACAATTCGATTATTTAGACACGATCTATTGTAGAGCTGGCAAGACAAAACTCGCTGAACTTGACACTCTGTACAAAAAGGTAGCCAAAATAGCTCTCAACGTTCCAAAAACAGAGAGCAGCCTTAATGTTTATAGAGACATGAAATGGTTACCACTCCATCTTAGACGACAACTCCATCTGTCAAATTATATGTTTAGAATCATCCATGACAATTGTCCTACAAACTTTATGAACAAATTTAGTTACATATCAGGAGGTAGTAGGAGCGGCGAAAGCTGCAACCTTTATGTCAATAGATCAACATCACATAAAAACTTTGAATACTTGGGGGCAAAATGTTGGAATAATGTTCCAACAGATCTACGAAATCTGCCCGATGTTAAAAGCTTTAGTGATTCGTATAAGAAACAGCTACTATCATCTATAACAACAGACCCTAATTATACCGTCGACAATTCATATGACAAATTTTACACTGCAATCATAGTCGCCGATAACTAAGTAACTTCTAATTCTTTTAAATCTGAGGCATATATAATTGATGTATCGAAAAGATATTCCCTTTTTTACCACCTTACCATTCTGATTGATTTTGCACATGACTGACATGTTTTAACTGGAGAAGGGGTTTTATAAACCACTTTTAATTTATTGACCTATTATACTTAGTGGTAGTTTTATAGACCACATTTAATTTATTAACTTATCATACTTAGTATTTTTTTTGGTGACTGTATCACCCAGTTTTAACATTTGATAATTGTACAGTTTATTGACGACACATTGACTGAATGTTATTTTATATTCTAATTTATATTCTAGATATTTTATTTATTTTACAACAGACGACAACTTCCTGTTTTTTCTTCTATATTAGTTACTCATATCTCTTGTACAGACTTTTTTACAAGGACATTGACAAATGATACTCACATTAGGCATTCATTATTGCATCTAAATTATTTCACTTGCATTAGGCTTAGAAATTTATTCTCTGGTCAACAGATTTCAAATGTTTAATTAATTTGTAGTATGACAGTAAGGTATATAAGAAGTTATTTAATTTTGCTTGGGCTATTATATTGACTAGGTATTGAGGTTTAATGATGATATGGAATTTGAATTCTATATAAATTTACACTATGTGGTTGGGGCATTTTGCATAGTAAATATGGTTACTACTCATATATATCATATTATTTGATTGGTATTCGATTTCTGATTATTTCTCTAGGAATATGATTATTATATCTCAATTTGGCTTTAGGTAGGGTGCCCCGCTAAAAGAACTGGATTCTTCCAGGAAGCATCCCGTGCACAGAGCTTGGTCTACATATATATTAAATTATTAACCATTCATTCTGTATGTGCACGAAAATTTATTTCAATCAAATATAAGCATTGTTTATTTCTTATATCAGAAAATAAAACGGTGCCAGACATCTACGTTGTTGGAGATTGTAACTATCCAGATATATATATATAGATAGACTGGGAACATTGAAATTTAAGCAGTGAAGCCAGGTGGTTCGCTCCAAGCTAGAGTACTGCTGCCCAGTTTTGAACACTGTGATAGAGATACAAAAACTAGAGAATGTGCAGAGATTTTTTACTAGAAAGATATCTGGCTGTCTATAACAGCTTTAGAGTTAGAGCAGCTCAGCTTTTTTAACATGCTCCCATCAGAGCTCCGGAGTATCACAGTGCTAGACAGTTTCATTATGGAACAGTATCGTACCCAGACACACCACCTGTTCCGGGTTACACTCCAACAAACGATAACTCAATGCTGAGCTGGAGGAGGACGCACTTGATGCAGTTGTCCTGAATACGCCCTGCCAAACTCACCAAAACGTACCTATGACTTAAACTATATTAAATTCAACTCACCGACTTGATATAATCTCCCTTCAGGAGAAAAGATGGTGATACTCCGATCAAAACCAGCGCTGGATCCACCACGAGACATTCTAACAATTGAGTAATGTTACATTTTGAAACAGTCACAAAAAATATGAGAAATAATAATTAGAAAGATGGTCCTTTTTCGAAGCTGTTACAGGAAGTAAATTGGATGATCCTTACTCCATATCTCAAACAAAAACCGGCAAAAACCGAGAATAATATTAAAAAGGTGATTATTATAAAAGAAGTTAAATTTAATTTGTTTAACTTTAAGCAACCAAAGAGCATTACAGCTCAATAATTTTAAGAAACAATACATTTTGTGAGAGATAACTCTCGAGGATAACTTGCTGGAAGGTGGATGTTTTATTGAAGTAACATCAACGAAGCTGTACTGTTAGTACAGCTGTGTCAGTTTCGCTGTTACCTTTTCAGTACAACAGTTACCTAATATCTCTTTCGAATCAATTACGAAGGATGTGAAATTTTCACAGTTCTGATAATGTAGAAATTAGGAATCAAATCAAATCAAAACATAATGGTACATAAGATCATCACAAATATTCATAAAAATATCTTAACAATTTAAATTATACCCAAACGACCTAGTACTTCTTCTTTGCCACATAGGGATGAAACCACAGAAAATAATTGTCTACTTTTATTCTCCAAATATTTATCTCCTTCAATTCTACTTATCACCTCATCAGACACTTTCCAGTGATGATGTTCACAATTAATTCCTTTTTTAATAGTCCTTTTTAAAATATTCTGGATTCATCTTAAATTAATTACACTGTAAGAATTCTTAACATCCACTGGTAGGGCATTCCAATAAGGTATAAACTCTGTCAAATAGAAAAGCTTTACGAAGATTTCTTAATTTAGAGCTTTTAATATTGCACTTTATCTTTGAACCTATATTCATACCCGATCTAGTAATATTGAAAATATCTGAACCATATTCTACTAAACCACTGACTATTTTAGAATTAAGTAGAATTAAGTTCAGAATTAATATACCACATCTGACCTTATTTGACCGGACATTAAATGAACGGACATAATTATGAATGGACATATTTGACCACCTCGGTTCTGCATTTCAGTGTAAACTTTTACAAGATGTGGAGGTAAATAATAACTCCGAAGAAGTGAACGAGGATGGGAAGCCGAATATCAAGAAAGTGATCATGCCATGTGATTTGTTTCACTCACTTGATCCAATGATACAGTTTACTAGTTTAGTCCGAATCTGATGATGGGAATTACGATTGACTGAAATTATAAAGTTGTCATATCCTAAATATAGTTTACTAGTTTAGTCCGAATCTGATGATGGGAATTACGATTGACTGAAATTATATGAGTTCGCAATGTGGGAAAAAATCTCAACGGACTTTAACTTGGACGGACCTTGAACGGACAGACTTTATTTGAACAGACATTAAGGTGAACTTTAAGACCTCCAGCGTTCAATTAATGCCCTATCAAATAAGGTCCGATAAGGTATGCACTATCTTTTAAACGAATCTTTACTCATAAAAAGCGCTACTGATGTATTTTCTGACGTGAAAAGCACAATAAGGTGAGTAGCTTTTGTCAAGGTGCCTAAACAGTGATCGTAAACGATTCCCCGTTCAATTTTTGGATGTAGAACATCAACTTAGTGCAAAAGAATAAAGTAAGTCGTAGACATATTTGATACATATCAAATTGTATGTGCTTTCGCCTTTCGGTAAAAATATCAAATATAACCTGCGCTTTTTTACATTTGAACGCATGCATAATTTTTCACAGTCTGTCTTGAACATGAAATGAAAATTTGAATAAACCTGAATTCAAATTATTTTAGGGACCAAGCCACATATCTTCTCAGTGTTGGCAACGAGGTCTCTAGTCTGGTAGATCTGGGAACTCCACACTTGGCGATCCTAAACTGCTCCAGAGATCCAAAATTCATCCAAATGTGCAGTGAATGCGTAAATCATGATGACCTCAAGCTAAGAAGGAAGATTTGTATTTCTAGAGGGCCCACCCACGCCTAGCTGGGGAGTCTAGTAATTATATAAGATGGCCAGTGCTCTATCCATTGATATGCAAGCGGCCTTACCCAGGCCTGTTATAAATGGGGAGTTCCTCTTAGGACGACCAGTGCTAGACACTGTTTACTACTGACTGAATGGGACCTACTTAACTCTTTGGATTGGTAGAACCTGTCTGGTAACGTGACCATTGGCATGGAGCTAGTTTTAGATCAACTCACATGATATTATTGCCGACTTAGGCTGCTTGGATGAATCACATCTTAGCCATTGTTTGGTGTGTTAGAGTCTACACAGTGTCGCCACTTGCCAATGCCAGTTGATACGAGAAGACACTGATGTAAGTGGGAAGTTATGTCTAAGAAACAGCGTGTGGTTCGGGTGCCGGTTGAACGCATGTAAAAGGGAGGGTATATCCTTATTTCGCTGCTAGTGATGCAGTCCTTGGCCCGGTAGCTAAGGCTTCCCCGTTTCTCGCTCATTTGTGCTCCGATGGGCTTGTGACCTCTGCGGGGGTCAAGTGCAGGATGAGGGACATGGCCGACCAGGAGAAGGTTGTTTTTGGGAGATAGAGTAGGGTTGGTTTGGTGTTGTGCCTTCGCAGTTTAACTGTATCTTTACCCTTTTGGGCTCTACTTGTAAGGTTTATTTATTTAATCCATAAACTTGCAATTCCATTGATAATTATGTAACTTGAGTAACTTTTTTTACCAAAAACGTTTTCGATCGGGAGTCATTCTTAAATTATTTTGGGGAATATCTTGACTTGATATAACGACATTGACGGATTTTACCCGTCTAAATTTCTTCGAAGTAGCGCGCGCCATTAATTTCTTCTCGAAATATAGCAACTAAAATACTTATTGTGGCTTGTATGTTTACAACCTACCATGACGCGCGCCGAGTTGGACTCGTCAACGGTCCAATATGTGGAACAGATATTTTACGAGTATCACTCGTTAAATTGTGGCCTATAATAATTAAATTTTCATCATCATCATCATAATATAACATTAAACTTAAATTAATATCATAAAATCTGTTAAATACAAAAAACAAAATTTGTTTTTGCACGCATTTTGCATTTGAATATTAATGTTATTTACTATATAATAAAATATAAATCGTATAAATTTCTTCGAAGCTGCTTTTTTCTCAAAATATTAGCCCAAAGCAAATGCTACGAAATAGCGCGCGCCGGGTTAGTCCTTAAACAATGATCAAGTAAATTATTTGTTCCAAATATGTTCAAACCTAACGACGAGTCCAACTCGGCGCTTGTTTTGGTAGGTTGTAAACTTACAAACCAAACATTTTGGGCGAATATGCGCCGCGCATATTCAATATTTTTACCGATTTAATCGTACTATGAAAATCGAGCGCTAAAGCAAATTTTGTCAAACATTTGTAGGTGTATTTTTTTTTCTTTTTTTTTGATTAGATAATGAAAAGAATATTCAAACAATATACACATAAATAGCAATGGCAAATTGGCTGACTATAAGGTCATGGCCTGAACAAACAATTTTTTTAAATAGTCAAGTGATGCTAAAGCAGAGCACAAATGTGTAATAAGTTAATAGATAAAAATACTGATTCAATGATTAAAATTATAGCTGTGAGTGTCAATAAATTACTGTGTCATAAAAAAGGAACGATGTACACGTGATCTGAGATACCAATATCTCAATATCAATGTATTGTATGTGTTTTTGATTGTTGTTGTTTTTAACGCCTTTTGCCTCTAATACTCTGTGTTAATATTATTTCGTTCCTACATGGGGACCCCTAGCTATAATGTACATAAACATATAAATAAAGATTCGGCGGAATAATAGGCTGAGCACCGGATAATAATTCGTTCCCTGCCAATATCTCGACTGATTTGGGTCCATCCGTCAAAAGATGATTATATATGACTAATGACAGACTTCTCAAATTTCACTATGATAAAAACAGCTTCCTTCTACCTAATTGCTTCCTATTCAATTGGTTATTCAGATCCCTTTAGATCTAATTGTTGTATATCTAAGGCAAGAAGATTGAACGGATTTGGATTCTGAAATGAAATAAGAATCCAAATAAGAATACCACACAGGGCAGAGGTACTCAGATGCGGTGGGATACATTAGGAAGCGCCTTCGTTTCGAAATCTTAAGAATGACGGTAATTTCTCTCCGGGGAGACAGAGGGGCGAGAAAGAACTTTGTCAATATAGACAGTTTAGATTTGAACTTGGAGCCGCAAGGCCAAGGGTGATTTTCAAAATATTGAATTTTTGAAGGGTTTTTTTTATATAGGGTCATTGTGACATTATGTGTACACTGTTTGAAACAATTTATCTGGACTCTGTAAACAAGTTTACAATAAATAAATTTGATATTTAAAGGAATGAAATAAGATATGCTACTAAAATTCTTTCACCACACAACACAAGATACAAGGGCAGGTCTCTCCCGAACGTTGGGATGGCCTGAGGTGCTTATCTCCTTTTCAGTAACCCTAAGCCACTCTGTGCCGAGGCACTATACTAGCTGTAGGGGGGTTAGTCCTACGAGCCAGAGAGTGTGTATCACCAGCCGAAGCTGTACCAAATCACAGCTTGGTAACTGGCCGACATGCATCCGACCGGATTTGAACCCGGGTCTTCTGCTTGGGAGGCGATCTTGTTACCACTACACCACCCGGCCGACTTTCACCACAATGAAAGTAATCATTATAGAATGTTTTAAATCTCTTTAGTCCCTCCTTACCTGTTCTACACAGGATTTATCATTGAGAAAAATTCTCTACTGTGGGTGTTTATCCTCGTCGAAAATTGTCTCTTTCCTACATTAGCTGCTGTCTCAAAATATTTTCTGAGCGATGGAATTATAAATTTTATGATTTCAATCATGAACCAAATCATAAGCGATCATCGCATCGATGAGAACCCCTCTCTCAACAGCTGTCTGGTCGAAAAGATCAAAATGAATGAACACACACCAGAGTCAACAGTCTTTCCCTCCGAGCTCGATTCATGTGCAGAGGAAAACTCCGCACTGGCAATCCTCTGTCTGGGTGAACAGAATGCTATCGATGTCATACCCAAGGCACACTCCGGAACTTTGCTTGATAAAGTTGAAGCAGGGAGGCTTTCTCCGGATCATGGGGCAGCGGTATTCTTGTCGAAAGATGCACTCAAACGTCACCAGGTCCGGTCAGGGGTTGGACTTGATAACTCTAAAAGAACCGATGCAAGAACTTCTTTCAGACTTGTCTTCTTTCGCTCAAAAATAGACCCTGACGGCACGTTGTCATGGGACAGTGAAGACATTCCCAATGAGAGCATCAGAGCATCCAGATTCTGTAATACTCTAAGCTTCAGAATGGGCCAAGTACATATATACCAACAAATATTGGATAAGCTTACCCTAGCTGACTTTACTCTGATACTGGATGCCATGGATCAACCCACATCTAGTAGCGACTCTCTGAATGATATGAAAACTAGAACAGAAACTCTCTTAGCAGACCCTTACTCACCCCCCAGCTATGCTGCTGTAAGTGTGATATTAACTAAGATGAAACTGAAAGACGCGAAGGAGGAGCTTGCTGCATGCAACCAGGAAAACAATGGTGCTGTAGCTCTATTAAGACAGAGACTAGGTAGATACCTAACTAGGGACACCGAACAGTCACGGGACACAAGGAGAGATCTCTTCTCTTACTCCCCTGAACCACCACTCCATGAAACTGCCCCAGTTCCAAACAACGATGTGTCTCCTAATGAATTCTGTTTTACTAGCTCACTGCCCAACGCGACGCTAAGGACTTCCTAAGATCGCAGCTGGACAAAAACTCCTCTACCCAGCAGAAATCCAAAACAAAAAGGAAAAGAGGACCAGCTGACACCACCTCTGGACTAAGTTTTCAAGGACTTGAAACTTACATCAAATCACTCGAATCAGTTACAGAAAACGAACTCACAAAGGAACTCAGATTCCTCAAACTGAGTAGTGAAGGAAGCTCAAAAATCAGGAAAAAGAGAATCACTCAACACCTGAAGAACCCTAATAATCTCTCCGCTGCTACATCTGAGCAACTCAGTGATGTGCAGAATAGACTGGAAGTAATGGAAAGGTCTAATGTGTCAATCAGCTCTATTCTTACCGAAATAAAAACCGAGATTAAAGAGCTAAAACTCACGATAACTGAGATGACCCCTGCAACTAAATCAACCGGGAGCTGCCAGGTAGCAACAAAATGCTCAAGTGGCGCAGATCTACTGAAAAATCTGTCAAAAGCTACCCAAGACACCAGCATGCTCCTGGAGAAATCTGAAATAGGTCTGAAAGGGCTCACACAAACCCTCAAAGACACTATGTCTGTAAAGAAGGATCTGGAAGTTTGGAGTCAGAGTGTCTTCAAAAGGGAAGAGAATGAAAAAATCAATGAAATCCATGAAATCATCTCTGCCTCAAATTTCAGAAACAACCAGGCAGACCCAGCTCCAAATGTTAGCCAAAGCTATGTGAGACATATCCCCAGGTCACCAGCTGACACACAGACTAACAGTGACATCCCCGGGCTGTCACCTAATCAGGGACGGTCTTCCTACAGGAGAGAAGACTTAGAACCCAGACAAAAAGGCAAGATAATCACAAAAGAAAGTGCAACAACTCCTCGCAGCACAGGGAGATCCAAAAGAGCGAGTAACCCAGTACCGCGCCAACAGAAAATTGTTCTCCTCTGTGACTCGACCATGCGAAGCTTTAAACCTTCCACGAGTTTCCAAAGAGGTACAATGTCTCTGTAATAT